CATTGACGCGGCCATGACTCCGTGAGAACAATGCAGCACATCACCCCATTTTTCATCGACTAACGATCTGCTCCATGAAGTCAATGAAAGAGGCTGCATCGACGCACACCTTGACCAGGTCTTCTCCCAAGGACAATTTGGGGCCAACAATCCCTTTGATTAACCTGGCCGCTTGCTCAGGCAACTGTCGAGAAGGGAGATCAGCAATGTTGCTCTTAGAAGGCACGCGTGAGTACCAAATCATGGCCTGCACTATATGGGTGAGCCGACCTACTTCTACCAACATGGTGAAAAGCTGGATGGCCGGCGACGAGCCTTTGGCCAACATGTCTCGAACAGAGTTGTTGTCCACAAACCACAAGACCCTCCTACCTCGAACAGCATCGGCATAGTGGGAGAGACCCGCAAGCACTGGCAGCAGTTCAAGTTCAGCTATGATCTGTGTCTTTCCCATGCTTAACCATCTAGTTATAAGCCGGGGGTCAACATCGACCTCATTCACAATCCTAGTTCCACGGACGGGGTCTACGAAAACAATTCCTGCTCCTGCCTTAACGGAGTTTTCAGGTTCCCAAGCTCCGTCGGAGAAAACCAGGATGGGCCTCTGTTCATCTTGCAAGGAAAGCGACCTAGGGGGAGAGTTTTTTAAGGCATACACCAAGTACGTGGCGGCGATGGCCCATAGCTTGGCATGGTGCGCTTTCCAGCCCGAATTGGCAATATCCGAAAGGATCATCATGGCTGGCTTGAGGTTGCATATGGAGTAGAAACTCTGAACAAAATTCAACTGACCGTGCAATGTCGCAGCAAGCGAAGAGTGCACTCGGCCTTCTGTCAGGGTTGTAGCGACCTGCTCCAAGAGACGTTCGGCTCTCGTTGGCTTGTTTTCCAAAGTGACGACTCCAGTTTGGGAACACGACAAATCAACACGAATGCCTAAGACATCAAAGACTTTGTTGTACCTGGTAGCCTTGGGGCCCTCGCTATCAAACTTCCAGCCTAACGCTTTGAGGAGGCCTTCGAAGGATTGTGACCCGGAGTGCTGGGTCCACACACGGATAGTCATCGTAGTAGTTAATGCACCACTGGTTGAAAAGCTTACAAGCGATGTGCCAGATTGACTTGCTGACACGGTTGAAGCTGTACACACTTGAAGTGGCGCCAAACCGATGACTTTGGCCCAATCGTCGTCAGGGCTGGCTGCTACCTGTTTGTACGCTGACTCTAGGTCTACTGTCCGACCAAGCAACTCGAGCTTCCCACCCCACAGCGGGCTAGGCTCGACCGCAACACCGTTCCCGCCTGACAAGACCAAGTTGAATCGAGTGGAGCTTGAAACACAGTTCATGACACACAGCACCAAGGATGCTAAGGCGTCGACCCCCAGGAGGGTCAATTTGTTGGTTCCCGAAAAGGCTGAGTTGACACCTGAGGACAAGCAGTTGTCAATCAATCGGACTTTATTAGGCTGTTGCAATCCAAACCTGCGGGTGGCCAGCCATTGGGAGTGCCCCAGCTGAGCGTCTACCTCTTGCTCCGTGAAAGGACCACAGATCCAACCACAGTCCCTCTCCTTGAGGGTCTTGCTCCACACCGTGCGGTCCATTTCGAGATTGCCTGAGCTTTTACACTTACCTATGGACCGCTTCTTGAGCCACACGGAGTTCTGCTTTAAATCTTCCACGGACCGAAGAGGTGGTTGAAAACCATGAGGAAATTCATTACAGTGTGTGGCTTTACCGGTTACTTTGAAACCCTTGCAGAATTCATCAAACAAGTTAGGGTCGTCAAAACTTGTCTCCTCCAAGAGTTCCTTCCACAGAAGGAGGCTTTTCCCTTCCACCACCTTGGCGATCCTGGGGTCAAGGCTGGCGTGCAATTCAAGCTCTTGGGCCCTGAGTCTATCCGCTCGCACTTGAATCTTCTTCAATGCCAGCTTTCGTCTTGCGATGGTGAGCTTGGGTCCATCTGAGATCAACTTTGCAACCGCCTCTAGCAAGGCGTCAGGCAATGGGAACGCATAGTCAATCGGGTGCTTGGCCGTCAATGCGGCGTCAACAAAAACCTCAGGTTCACGAAAGACACCAAAGAGTTCCTTTGGGTCCGCTTGGGAAAGTCTGATTTCTGTTTTGCGTGGATTGCTGACCTTTGCTCTTTTCCCTTCTGTTCGTGACTCCCCATTTTCTACAAAGGATGGCAACTTGGACAATTGCTTGAATGGCAGAGATTGTGGGCGCTGATCTGTCACGACGGCATATTCGGACACGATGGGAGGAAGTGCCCGGATGCCGTGCTTTGTGGGGATTGAACGTTCAACCAAAGCTCCTTGGGGGTCGAAGGCAGAGTTTGGGAACTGAGCACCCCTCTTACTGCACTCTGCAACGAGGGCCAAAGCATGTGTGTGACACAGTTCAGCGGGATATGCAGCTTCTTCTTGAGTGGGAAAAACAGGGTTGAGCTGTTTGTCGAAGCTAGGCTTGAACGACTCGTGCCGGTGACCCCCTGGACAGCGCTGGCGGAGACGATCAAACACCCCTGGGGTGGATCGCCAACACTTCCAAGTGGCACGAGTCCCTCCATGTGCACAGGCTTGAAAGTGAACATCTTGCAAGGAATGCCAAGCAGCCGAAAAACAACTATTGCTCTCTGCAAAATGCAGCATGACTAACCAAAAGTATGAGCGACTGGGGTTCTCCACACTTACCATGGCATTGCGAAGGCTAAGAATGAGAACAGCTAATGCAGTGAAAGCATACAACTGGTTGGCACTGTGAACACGAGCCTGATCCTGAGGAGTAAGATCACTCATACCTAGGGGCTGAGCCTCGGATCGCAGAGGCGGTGCGCGCACATGTCGCATCTCCTGAGGCAGAGGCTTGTCCCTGGCCCGGGATGAGGTACCGCACGGTGGGGCGGCGTGTCCTGAGGCAACGTTGGCAAAACACAAAGCATGCAACATCACGGCTTGATCACTGGGGCTCGTGAGATCTAACTGCAAAAGATGGACCTTCGGTTTCCGTTCGGAAGTGCAGTCCACGGGCAAAACGGAAAAATGACAATCCTTGAGAGATCGAGAAAGCGTAGCAGTCCCTGCAAAGAGTTCAACACACAAAAGCTGCTCACTGGTACACTCGAAAGAAACTGGCTTGAGATCACTCAAAGGGCAAGGCAAAACGAAGGA